ATGGCTTCTCCATTCTAGCCTGAGGCCCCTGCAGCTGCTCCCCCTGAAGGGCTCAGCCTGCCTGACTGCTTTCAAAAACAGCCTCAGGGAGCCACTGAGCCTTTTCTCTTTGCTGCTCCCCCCACTAAATTCCAGGCAAAGTTTCTGAAACATCAGCAAGCCTTAGAATCCCCGGAGGGCCTGTTAGGACAGATGGCTGGGCGCCCCGCACCCCCCAAACACCACCAAAGAATTTGCATATCCAACTGGGTCCCAGGCCTTGCTGGAGGTCCAGGATCACATTTTGAGAACTGCTGTCCTACAGCACCCGTAAGCCCTCGGGGCTGCTGGGACCCCAGTCTTGCCATTCTGCCTTGGGGTGTGACGGAGAGATTTTAAATTAAATCTCACTTTGTGCCCTGGGTAATGAACTAGTAGAACTCATTTTTCCAAGAAATTGTATTGGCTGGAGATAGAAACACTGTTGTGTATAAGCCTGTTCGCTTGGTCTAACTCTGAAAATGGTGAAACAAAACTCTGAGTCTCTGACCGACCCTGGGAACCTCTTTACTTCTCCATGCTTGTCTTTTCTCGAGCATGTCTTACCTCCCTGACCAGATTATAACCTTCCTGAAAGCAGGAACCATATCATCTCTGGTGTCGTGACGAAATAGCACTTGCTCAGTAAATATTTGTGGGGGCAACCAAAGCCAAGAGAAACCCGCAGCCCTAGCTTGGTGAGGAAGATGCGGAAGGATTAGGCGTTCCCAGGGTAGCTGCTCCTGGCCAGTAATACTCTGGGCTCAGGGAAGGCCCAGAGCAGCAAGGAGCATGGCAGCTTTCTACGAGCTGGGGTGGGGGTGGTTGGAGATGGGGCCCTGGGGCTGCCCTTGCCCTCCTGCCACAGGGTACCTTTCCCATGGAACCGGTTCCGAGCTTGAGGGGTTCCCAGATGCCCACGGGAGGGAATTTAACCCCAAGCAAAGAACTGAACCATTTTGGAAAGAGAAACCAGAGGAAAAATAAACAACAACAACAAGAAAATTGGGAGCCAGGAAGAGAAGTATCTTGCCTTAAACTGGAGCACATCTTGCAGTAGAGGGACAGCCCACAGGAGGGAATGGATAACTGTATGTTCTTCCTTTTTATAAGCTCTTAGGTGGCAGGCCTAATGGCTGTCTGGCATTATGGGAGTGAGATTATAATAAATCACACCCTTTTGTCCTATTTCGTTTTACACAAAAGGCCTGATACTTGTTGATACTTGTCAGCAGTACAGTTGACAGACTCCCCTGGTGAGGTGTCCCAGGGTGGGGCTCTTGATTTAGAGTCTCAGGCCACTGGGAACACTAATCCTGAATATCCATGGGGCCCTGGTCCAAGCAGGAGGTTTTGATTAGAGCAGGCAGAAAGAACAGTTTTCATCCCACGGAGCTGCCGGGGTGGAAGTCTCCAGGGGCTGACTTCACACCTCCAAGACTCCTCGGCATCTTATCATCTCCTAGTCTGTTTATTTTAAAAGTTGCCGGCTATTTTATGGACCCCTCCCTTAAGTTTCCTTGAGAAAATGGGATGTGGGCTAGAGAGGGTCCCTACTCTTTTTTTAAAAAAAATCCCCTCTGGGGCGCCTGGATGGCTCAGTCGTTAAGTGTCTGCCTTCGGCTCAGGCCATGATCCCAGAGTCCTGGGATCGAGCCCCGCATCCGGCTCCCTGCTCTGTGGAAAGCCTGCTTCTCCCTCTCCCACTCCCCCTGCTTGTGTTCCCTCTCTCGCTGTGTCTCTCTCTGTCAAATAAATAAAATCTTTAAAAACAAACAAATAAATAAATAAATCCCCTTCCAACTAATCCAGGGCGAAAAGCTAACGAGAAGGAGCGGCAGGCGGCTCTCCAAGTGGCCGAGGACTTCATCTCCCGCATGCGATATGCCCCCAACACTCAGGTGAGGAGATGCCTGGGTGCCCCACCCCCTCCTCCTGGGGCTCCTCCTGCGGCCTCTTGCCCCTGCAGACCAGACAAGAAGGGCAGCAAATCCCCGGGCACAGTCAGGAACGGTCAGGCCTCGCTACCGGCCCCCTCCAGTGCGAAAGCCCTTTTTAGTCCTTCAACATTTAAAAGTACATGGTGTTTTCTTTTCCTTCTTTAAAGATTTATTTGAGAGACAGAGAGAGAGAGAGAGAGAGAGCGCGCTTGTGCACGAGCACGAGATGGGGGAGGGGCGGAGGGAGCGAGAAGGAGAGAAGCAGACTCTGCTCAGCGCGGGGCTCAGTCTCACGACCCTGAGATCATGACCTGAGCCGAAACCAGGAGTCAGATGCTCGACTGACTGAGCCACCCAGGCGCCCCAAAAGTACGCGGTGTTTCCTGAGAGGATGTTGGGCAGCACTCACGTGGCAGCCCAGAGCCTGGTGTGGGCAGCTTTTGTGCCTGCTCTGGGCCCTTGTCCCGGCTCGTCCTGCCCCCGTTGCTCCAGCACGGCGACTCCACGAGTCATTCCGAGGGGAGCTGATAAGGCTTATCGATGACTGGTGCGTCTCTCGAACTGCGCACCCCAGTGCTTGAAGCAATCTGTTTTCTCAGCCCGTGTCCCATCTCTTGGCTTATTTCTTGGCCAGGGTCATACCTGGCCGGGACGGCGCCCAGCACCCTCCTCCATGGCTCCGCTCCGGCCTTGCCTGGTGGAGGCAGAAGTGGGAACCTCGTGGGCTAGACTTCTCCCCCATTCTCCCTGCAGGTGGAGATTCTGCCCCAGGGCCGGGAGAGCCCCATCTTCAAGCAATTCTTCAAGGACTGGAAATGAGGGGGGGCGCCCCCCGACTCCTGCCCGCTTTCTTCTCCTCTGGCTGCCTGGCCCCTGTGGAGGTGGCCCCGAGGCTGTTCAATAAAGGAGACAAGTGCTTTCCCCGCTCTCTGCCCTCACCGCCTGCCCTGAGCTACTCCTCACTCCCCCGCTAGTCACCGGGCCTTATCCACGGGCTGGGGCAGAGGAGGACCCGGTGGCCGCCCGCTACCCAGCTCAGGGGCTGGAGCGGACTTGGCACCATCGAGGCAGTGGGGCCCGGAGCTCCCCGAGGGCTGGTGGGGACTGCTGGGAACCGGTGGGGAAGGGGCACAGCACTGGGCCCTGGCTTTGCTTGCAGCCAGGGTTCAGTTCAGTCACACACCCCGCTGGGACGAGGTTGGGGCAGCAGGCTCGGGACGCGGTTCTGCTTGAGCCAGGATCTCAGCTGCCCTGAGAAAGCACTGTGAGGCGGCTCCCAAACGACACGCTTGCCGACCAAGAGGACAACTTCTTGCCGCTGTGCGCCAAGTCTGGCTTGTCACTGCATGGGCGCATCACATCACGTTAGGCCGATGAGCGCGGGGCCACTGTAGGGCCGGGGAAAGCCCCAGACGAGTGTGGAGTGTCACGGAGTCTGGATCGGATGTTACCCTGCCTCCGTGTCCTCCTGGGCAAGTTGCTCTTCCTTGTCTAGGCCTTAGTTCATTCTCCTGTATCATGGGGCGGTGGCTGGAATATCAGGCTAGAGAGCCAAATAGGAGAACGGAGTAACTCAAAGTGCTCCCACCCGGGAGGGCAGGATCCGGGGGCAGGAGCAAGGCTGGTAAGTCTGGACTGGAGTTCAGGAGGCCAGGCTGAGCTGCTGCAGCTGTCCTGACCCACTCCCACCCCTGGGCCCCAAGGGCGATGCGGCTTCTGAGCTCTGATCAGCTGGATTCTTCCATCCCCAACATACTCTAACCAGGTTCATCCTGATTTTGTGCAAAACAGCACAGGAAAGTCAGCTTCTCTGTGTACCCCCCCGACTTCTCTCTGAGGAGCTGTGCGGTGGTCCACCCGACAGCCTCCACAGACAGCATGTGCCAGGGATGATTTGCAAAGGAGAGCGAAGAAGGGGGCACCAGATCCTGACTTTCTAGGGTTGTGAAGCATTTTACATCTCCCATGGAAGGCCTAGATAGGCCCTTCCTAAATAAAATGCACAGGTTAAGATTCTTGCATCTACTTTCAAAGGGTTTCGGCCCCCCTCCCCCTTCCCTAAGAGAACCACAACTTAATCCCTGGACAACGTTGTTGCTAATGTCCCAAGGTCTGAAGCTGAGCACTCTGGGGACATTACACAGGGAGTGACTTGGTTAGAAAGGGCTCTTGCAGAGGCCACTGGCCTCCCCTCCAGCTAGAAGCCCACATGGACTGGTTCCCGGCCAGAGTGCAGGCTGGGCATTCACGGTCGTCTCCGGAGTTAGCCTGGTCTGAGAGCAAGCGGAAGGAACCTGCAGGGGAGGAGCTACGGAATGGACACTCTGAAGCGGAGGCTGAGCCACAGCCTTTCTGCGTCCCAGCCTCACCAAGCCCAGGAAGCTGTTGGCCACCCTGCAGGCCCACTGAGCACCCAGGCTGGAGGAAGTAAAGTGGACAAAGGATGAGTTCAGGTTGGGCCAAGATGGCGCAGGCAAACTGCCATCCATTACTGCCCTGCCCTTGAGGCATCCTGCTAACAGCAGTGGGGAGTCCTCTGCCATACCAGGGTGGCTATGTGTCGTCCCGCCTCTGCAATGCACTGCAGCTCTGGTGGGTTAGAATTGGAGAAGTGTGCAGGGGCGAAACCGTGGTCTTCATGGGTCTACTTGACGGAGTACAGAGGACAGGAGAGCGGTGTAGTGGGGTCTCCCCAGCTCAGGATACCCTGGCCCGGAGGAATGGAGCAACAGAGCTACTAGCTTCCCCAGATGCCAATGTAGGAAAAAACATGAGGAATGTTTCCTACAATGGCTTCCCCAGAAGCCAATGTAGGAAAAAACACAGCAATCTTAACCATAGCCAGGGCCGCCCTGCCCCCTGGCTAGAGTGCACAAGGAGTCTTGGCCTCTAAGTGCAGGATGGACACCATATACACTCGGTGGGAGCCTGGCCGGGGCAGAGCAACCTTCTCTCCTGGAGCCCCTGGCTCTCACCAGGCCCTGGAACAACAGGGCCACAGGAAAGGGCAAAGCTTTTCTTGGAGGAAAACCACTGGAGCCCTTGACCTGGAACAATTCTTTTATTCAAAAACTGCTGGTGTGTGAATTTCCTCCTTCCTTCGAGCAGGCCAGAAAGCCATCCCTGATGGGAACTACACACCTCCACGGGGTGGGGAGTGTGAGCAAGGGGGTGCCCAGCTGGTGGGCAGTTGGGATGGGCAGCAATGGAGACACCTACCGGACAGCCGGTTCTGTGTCATCAACAGCGGGGCTGAGGGATGGGGAGAGGATGGAGAGAAGGCCTCTTGCCCTGGTTCATGCTGCCCCCTGCTGGCTGCTGCCACGGCTACCTTCTCCCTTCAAATTCTAGCTCCAGGGTCCCGGTCCTGTGGACACCCACGGCCTGAGAGCCCAGCTGCCCAGCGAGCCAGAATCTGGCACCTCGGCGTGGGAATATCTCTCAGCGTGGGCATACGGGGAACATCCAGGCAGGGCCTTCCCACCTCATGATCCATCCACTCGTCGAGATTACCTGGAAACCAACTCTCAACTAGCTCAACTCCAATTCTGGCAAATCCTTGCCCTGGAGGCGGGTCTGTGGGGAGCAGGGTGGGTCTAACTATCCCTAATGTCTCACATGGGTGAGGGTCCTTGGCTTCCCTGACCAGGCCCAGCCCGGGTACGCCTGGCATAATGCGCCGTGCACCCTCCCAATGCCCCTGTGGCCCATCTTTTAAGTCTCTGTCAGCCTTGGGCTGGTCAGATCAGCCACATGCCTTCGGATGAATGTGGCGGCAGGTCACACACGCCTGTGAAGGTGAGATCCTTGGAGTGAGGGGCTTGTGGCCCAAAGCACTTCTGTGCTCCCAACAACGAGGCCTGTCCCTTTGACACTCCAGCCAGGTAGATTTCCAGGGTCTTGAGCAGCCGCTTGGGGCTCTTCTTGGCCAACACCTCCAAGTCTGGAACAGAGGATTGGAGAACAAAAGGCTTGATGGGGCTCTGGACTGCACACCAGTCCGGGCCCAGCAGCCATAGGCAGTACCCCCATCCTAGACCCTGTGGAGTGGAGGGTGAAGGAGTCTTCTAAGGTGGAGAGCTCACCAGACAGGGAGGATGATGGACCAAATAAAGCCACAGCAACCACACTTTCTACCTTGACCAGGACAGTCTCAACTTTGAATGGCCAGTCCAACTGTTGGACCCAACTTTTGATTCAGAAAATATGACCACCCTCGGTCTGAGGCCAGAAGGGAGGAGGGGGGTGCAGAGAAAGGGGAGCTAGCAGGCCCCAGAGGGTGGTGGGCTGATGGAGACTTTGAGAAGCTGGAGCTTGAGAAAGTAGGGGGGGAGGGCGGTTAGGGGGAAGGGAACTGTAGCCCAAATCAGTCTAGCAACCACACTGGGGTCCCTGAACCTGGGCAGGTGGGGAGTGGGGACACGCTAGGGAATTCAGGTCTCTCCAAGAAGAAAGAGCACACCTTTGAGGACAAAGCCAGAGTCAGCAATGGTCTTCTCCTGCGTCCTCCAGACATGTGCAAGACGGAGGAAGGTGGCAGCATAGAAACTGTTCACCACTGGGATCACCTTTCGCTGCCGGTTACACTCCCTATGGCACAAGGGGGGCAGTGTGCTCAGCAGCGGACCACGGACCACGGCTGACAGCTGGGTGCCTCCGCCGGCCCGACTCCCCCAGGGAGCCATTCCGCAGGCAGCCTTCGCCTCCAGGGCAGGGTTGGGAGACTGGTTTTGGTGGTGGTGGTGGTGGGGGGGCTCTGTCCTGGCTCCCTGGGGAGCTGCAGGTCTCCAGAACGAGCTGGGAGAATGCGGCGGGAGCGGGAGGGAACCAGGCTCTGCTGTGTCCTTCTGGTCAGCCAGCCAGCAGCCTGGGGCGGGGCGGGGGGGGGGCTGGCCCGCAGTGCAGGGACTCACCTGGAGAGGGGACTCACCTGGAGAGGCACTCCTCCCTTAATGCCTGGATTGTGATGCGGGTGATATTCACGGACATCAAACAGAAGGGGAATTGCTGGAATGAAGCGGGCAAGGAGGGTCAGTGGCAGCCCCGGCTCTTGGCTTCTGGGCCCGCCATCCACAACCCAGCAAGGCCCCCTGGCAGCAGTGACAACCATGGCCGGGAGGCGGCAGCTGACATTGCTGATGTTCACACTTGATTTTCCCAATAATCCTCCCATTTCCCAGATGAGGAAGCTGGGACTCAGGGACCCGAAATGAGCTTCCCGAGGAGCTGGAACCAAGATTCCAACTGAGGATAATTCACACGCAGGCTGGCGGGCATAACCCCGTGCAAGCTCTTCAGCCTCTTCACCATCCCGACCCATGGGCTGTCCTTGGCCTTCATTCACCAGACCCACCGTGGGGCTGCCCAAGGACCACACCACCCCCTGGGGTCAGGCTGAACACAGGCGGGGTGAGGCTCGGTTATCTGGCCATACAGGTGCCTACAATCTCTTCTCCCCTTTCCTAGGCATCTTATTTGACTGCTCATAAGCACTTCATTCAAAAGTAGAGATGGCACAGGCACAAAGCAGGTAAAAACCTGACTTGCTGGCACACCCCATTTGTCAATAACGGAGGCCTGAGAACTAGCTGTGCGGGTCAAAGAGGGGGCAGCATGGGGTTCACCGGGGCTGCTTCCCCAGGAGGGGCCTCAGAATCCGCTCTGGGGTCTACTTTAATGCTTTATCTTTGGAGGGGCAAGCTCCTTTTTTTTCTTTTCTCTTTTTTTTTAAGTAGGCTCCATGCCCAGTGTGGAGCCCAAAGCGGGGCTTGAACTCATGACCCTGAGATCAAGACCTGAGCTGAGACCAAGAGTCGGACACTAAACCCACCAAGCCACGCAGGTGCCCCATCCTTCCTATTCTTTAATAACAAAACCTAAGAAAATGAACAGGGGCTTTTCCCAGGGCATTTCCATATATTACATGTTAGTTTCCACTGCTGCACATACCCAAGGACACCCACTGAGAGGGACCCACAGATCAGTGCACTCATTAGTTTAGAGCAAGAGCCAAAGTCTATCCCATCTGCTTCCCCTGAGAAGAAAAGCCATTACATTATGATGCATAACTGTGCTGTCCAGTATGACAGCAAGTAGACACAGAGAACCATTTAAGTTTAAATTAATTAAAAATTAAACAACTTTGGGGCACCTGGGTGGCTCAGTCGGTGAACTGTCTGCCTTTGGCTCAGGTCATGATCTCAGGGTCCTGGGATCGAGCCCCGTGTCAGGCTCCCTGTTCAGTGGGGAGTCTCCTTCTCCCGCTCCCTCTGCCCCCGCCCCCCCCGCCCACCGCCCTGCTTGTGCGTGCTCTCTCTCAAATAAATAAAATTGTTTTTAAAAAATTAAGCAAAATTAAAAAAATTCAACTCCTTAGTTGAAAAAACCTCAACTCTTTAGACCTATTAACCATATTTCAAGTGCTCAATAGCCACATGCGCTCAGTAGCTACTATTTCGAACGGTGCTGATATATTACCGCCTCTTCATTGCAGAAAGTTCTATCTGACAGCACTGAACTGTCGAGGGTCTTCTGCTCCATAAAGATTTTTCTCGGGGTCTTCTGTGGCATCTGGGTTCCAGATCTTGGCCTGACCACCTACTGGCTTTGTGTCCTTAGGAAGGCCACCTGCACTGTATGAGACTTAGCTTTCCCATTTCTTTTTTTTTTTAAAGTTTTTTTAATTTTTTTAAT